ATAAGCTGCTGTATTATTGAGCAGTTTTGTACCACCACTTCCAAATTCTCTCTCAACTTCTCTTTTTTTAAAATTCAATAGTGCTTATCAGAACAAGTAACGCTGACTCTTCAACAGGGGAAATTCAAACAAAATGAATGTGTGTGGACTCTGCATGGGTAAGCAGACAATGGGTTTTTGAATAAATGTTATTACACTGTGAGCCCCATGTGTCTGAAATATTTATTGTAAACTATCTCAATCCCTCATCTGTGAGCCTTGTAGAGGTAGTCTTAGAAGGTCCAGACGTGCTATTATTTACTCTGTGAGTGTTAAATGGTAACAGTGATGCATCAGTGGATGGTCAAAGGTCATTTCAAACACAGGTGCCCCCTATGTTTGGTGCTGCATGTTATTAACACAGTAAGAAAGGAAAGTTGGCGGCACCGACTTCTATCTAACAACTAGTTTGCCGAGCTGTGAAAAAGAGCACTTATCCTGATGTTTTTGTTTTTATATTAATTACACATTTCAGATCATCGTCGAAACATTTTAATAGAAGACAAAGCTAACCCGACGAAATACAAAATGTGCTTAAACGATCATTTCATTTATTAAAGGAAAAAAGTTATCCAAACCTATCTGGCCCTGTCTGAAAAAGTAATTGCCTCCTAAAACCTAATAACTGGTTGTGCTACCCTTGGCGGAAAGAACTGCAATCAAGCATTTGAAATTACTGGCAATGACTCTTTCACATCGCTGTGGAGGAAGCATCTCAATTAGATTTAAGTCGGGACTTTGACTAGGCCACTCCAAAACCTTCATTTTGCTTTTTTAGCCATTCAGAGGGTGACTCGGTCGTATGTTTCCGATCGTCGTCTGCTGCATAATCCAAGTTTGTTTATTTATAAGGACAATTCAAGTTAATCGACATTCACACCTAAATTCATCATGTCAGATTTAGCCACATAGACTAATTTTCATCTATAGTATGCGAATAAGTAAAATACAGAAAAACGTAGGAATTAAACTTATATCCATATACCAACGCGAGCTCGAGTTTCAGGACATGAACTAATAGCTGGATATTCTCCTGCAGGATTTTCTGGTAGAGAGCAGAATTCATGGTACCTTCAATTGTGGTCCAAGTCCTGAAGCAACAAAGCAGCCCCAGACCACACTACCTCCCCCATGTTTGACTGTTGCATGATGTTCTCTTTATGAAATCTTGTGTTAGTTTTTACACATGATGTAACCTTCCAAAAAGTTCAGTTTTGCTTAAGCAGTCCACAAAATCTTTTCTCAACAGTTTTAGGGGTCATCATGATGTTTTTAGGCAAATCCCAAAATGTTGATTTTCTTCCTCATCCTCTCAAGTCTCAAGAAGTCACTGGGATGAGTGACGAAACGTTTCTGTTCACATCCAGATGAATGGAATCAACTTTTGGGATTTCCTTACCATGGTTGAGCA